ACAGATTTGTTTGATCTGAAAAATTGCTATTTGTATAATGGACTTCTAAATCGTGTCAGATGGGTGAAAATCTGGAGTTTTTTACAATTCAACGGCCTTTATTTTGGCAGGGAAACAACTTTTTGAGGCAAACTTTTTTGGTTCTCCAATGCCCAAGCAGGCACTGTTGTCGAAATATTTATAATTAAAAGCTTGAGAAGTTGAACAAAAAGTATGCAGTTTGGCCTGTAAGGACTTTTATGGAAATTTGTACGTAGTCATTACCACTGCTATTCGTTATTTTTTTTCTTATTTAATGCTTCAAAGTAATCACATCTAACCTCTAAGAGGTCTCAGTGAATATGACATATTAAAAGCTGTCAAAAGGCATTTGTACGTTAGTCTTACTTTATTGCAGTAAGCACTCTAACATTTTTTTATTTTTTTAGTATTTTTTTAAAGAATTATAGGTCGCACAAAAGGGAGAAAGCAACTTAACTTATAATATGAACCATTATAAAATTTTAAAAAGAGAGTCAAGAAGAAAGTGATTATTAAAAACTAACGGAAAAGTTCAACGTGTAGTTCTAGTTAGTCTTATGTCAGTCATTTTAGTCTAAGTTTATCGGTAAATTGATCATTTTTAATATTCAGCTGTCTAAGCTTAGTAAACGTAAAGGATTTTGCTTTTTCAATAGTAAAGTTATATTTGATCGTTTGTTACAGAGAAGCCTAACAGAAACAAAGAAAATATTGAGGAATTAAACAAGGATAGCGAAGCAAACAAATTTAATAAGCGGGAAACAGACACAGAAGAAGAACCTGGCGACGAAAATAATTTTGGTACAGAGAGTTGTGACGATGAAGATGTATCAGAACCTGACTCCGTAACTCGACCTCAGAAAAATAATCTGACTGTTGGCCATCCAGCTCTAAGTCTACCACCTGTTGACATTATGATTCTTATTGACTGCTCGAGCAGTATTGGAATATCCAGTTTTCAAAAAGTCTGCTTTTTAGAAATATTAAGTCGAAAGGCTATTATTTGTTTAATGTACTTACCAGTCTTTTGTGTCGAAATGTACGTTCTGCTACTATTGAACAGTTTTACCTGTAGATGAAGGAAAGTATATGCAATTTTTTGAAAGACGTTGACATAGCTCCAGGACGAAGTCGAGTTGCTGTTGTAATATTTGCCAACGAGCCTATAGTATACTTTGGCTTTGACAAGTACTATAGCTATAAGTCAATTGCAAGTGAGTTGAGAAAGTGTTTACTTTTAATATATCTTCAAGGTGTCATATTACGGCATGATGAGGAAGCTAAACGAGGATTTAGAGAACCAGTTTAGTGCATCTAATGAGACTGATGACGTGAGAACTTCCAGGAAAAAGTTAGTAGCTGAAGTAAAAATATTAAATAAAATTATTGCTAACAAATGCTGTTCGCAAATTTAGGAAAAATTAGGAATATCTCATACATTGGCGGGCCAACATTTCTTGCAAAAGCTTTGCTTTTTGCGTCGGGCATTTTGTATCAGGAGCAAAATATGAAAAACGGTAAACGACGGAAACATAAGTTTATGCCGACCCCTCGACATGATCGTTTGCAGGTGCAATTTTTTGAAAAATCTTATCTGGAGAACACTTAAGTTGAAACCATTTAGAGACATGATCATGACATGATCGTCTTAACTTCTGTCGCAAACGTTTTAGACACTTAAATTTGAAAGGAGGTTTTCAGCATAAAGATTTTTAAAAAAAAAATTCCTTTTCTTTGTAGCAGTAAAAATAAATGAAAAGGATTATTTGCCATTAATCAAGGGAACTATAGAAGGTTCTGTGCTGCATTTAAAACTAACTTTAAAATAGCCTTCAATTATTGGCAGTTATATTATTTAGGTGCTAGTCGTAGTTTCTGATGGATATTCAGAAGATAATTATGAGAAAGTATCTTACATTTTATATGAGAAGCTGAACGTCAAAACTGCTTCTGTGGTAATGAGAACTTACAACAAAGATAAACTGCTTCCCATAACTCGATTTAAGGGCGCCATATTCTTAATGAACGAGATTGAAGGGTTGAGCATGTGGCTTTGGAGGCAGCAGGTTGATTTTGGACTTTATAAAAATTCTCGGTAATAAACACTCTTGTTAAATCAGATATTTTTGCGAAAAAAAATTTTGTAGAAACTATCTTAAGCATCTTTAAACAATTTTTTACAGCGAATTTGGAATGAAAATTACGCAGATTACATCGAAAAGGAAAAACTATACATGGCAGAAAGCGGGAAACATGAACCTTAAGCAGATCGCTGCGGTTCCTGTATCTACCATAAAATTGTTGCTCAACACTTTTAATATTTTTGGCTTTTCCATCTGTTGCTTTTTTGTTTGCAATTATCTATGAGTACATACTTTGACTTGAAATTATTCTTTTTGCTTATAAGTCATCGAAAGTTATCTTTATAACCAATTTTTTTTTTTAGAAAAACTTTTTAATTCCACTTTTGTGGCCTCAGAGGGCTAATTAGCTGACGCTTAGTTTTAGTTATCATTCTTTGAATTCAACAATTCATGTAGATTTGGTAAAACTGATATTATTTACGTACCTTTGCATAAAGTTCCCTCTTAATGAGCAAAAAATGTTTCTAATTTGCTCCTGTAAATACAGGTCTTTTTGTTTTCGCGAGAAATAGTTTTGAGGTCGGCAGTAAATTCAGTAGCAAATTAGCAAGCAGTTCAGGTCAATCTTTATTTGTGCAGCTTATATTGGTTGAATTCTGGATATTGAAACTGATGTAACGTGAAGAAATTTTGTATTAGGTCCCGAAATCAGCTCACGAATTTTAAAAGAAATACTTTGGTAAGTGAGGTACTTACATGTAAAGGGTATAATAAACTTTTTTTGCTCATTGTTGGGGAGTTAATTCTTCATAAAAACTTTTCAATTGCCTAGGTAAATCTTTTTACTTCTCTTCTGCTATTTTTTTCTTCTTGTGAAAAGTAATTTTATAAGACGTGAACTATATTCCAGCTAAAATAATATATTTCTCTGCTTTATTATTGTTTAAATATACAATGCCTCGAACAAGTCTGTTAGTGGTAAAATGTTAGTAGATCTATATATCTTCGCTATGACTTCCAGTTCTAGTCCAGTATTTACTTTTTGCTAGTATTTTTTTAAAGTTTTCTTAGCTACTAAACTACTGTCTTTTTCCTCCTGCCATCTCATGACCGCCTTTCTCGACCAACCTTGAATTCAATTTCTGTCCTTTTTACATTTTCTTGAAGTACTTTCAATGTAGACTACAGTAACTAAAAAAAATTAGGGTACATGGACACTTGACAAAGTTATTGCAGTAAAACTGTTAAGAAGTACATGTAAAAAATTAAAATTACTCCCACATTTTGGCTAAGATGTTGACTGTAAATGGAAATTAAATCATGAAATTGTAGACACAAACAGATAAAATCTTAACAAATAATATACAATAACTGCAACATCATTTACTCATTTACACAAGTTACTTAGAAGTTTAGCATACTTTCACGGTGTTCACCCGGATTATCCCCGGATGTCTTCGCATTACACAGTGGCATTGAACCAAACCAGCTAAAATTTCGCCATAATAAACGATATGTCGCTCCCAAAAAATTTTGCACCAAATTGAGATTGGACGGCCCTATATGTATAAAGTTCAACAAGAATTTTTTTTCAAGTAAAGAGTCAATAAATAAGCGTTTTATAAATCTATGCTTTATTCTTTTCCAGCAAGCTGTCTATCACTGAACAATATATGAACATTTCTGAACAGTATATGAATTTTATGGACCAAAATCCAGTTTTTTTTTTGCACAGTTCGAGTTCAAGCATTTTTAGTACATAAGCTGGAACTTTTGGAATGGTTGTTTCAAAACTGAGAAAAAGTTTTTTAGCGTTAGACGAATACTCATGATCAGTACTAAAGTGGAGTATAAAACAAATTTGATTGTTTCATTTGGTGGTAGCAGAGATAATCCGTCTGTGAATGTTTCGATCGCGGACGTAATTGAAGTTAATTGGATTTTTGAGGCGAGGGCGCCGTAATATGGAGGAAGTTGTTTATGTGTTATAAATGATTTTAAATTTGCTATGCAGCTTAGTTTTGGAATAAAAATTTCTCCCTATTGTTGAACAGCTTAGTTTTTGACCAAAACAGTTTACACATTTTCTCATAATTTTTTAAGACATAGGCTCGTAATTTACAAGCTTGTCAATAAATATTTTATGTTTCTTCGCCTTCATCTCTATACTTATCTTCTACCGTTAAACTGTGGCTCGTTTTGACAGTTTATTTCAAAATTGACTTTCTTTGAGCAATAAATTTCTATCAATATTACTGTATATTAATATGACTCTGTGAACAATTTGAGACGTTAGCACTGTGAGTGTTTATAGTTATGACTATTCAAACGAAAAAAAATCAACAAGCCGAGCAAACTGATTAGTATTAATGTCCTGACGTTTAAGAAAAGCAATCCGTAATTGTAAAAATTATGTGAAACAGAGATCTAACGTATAGCAATCATCTGTTTTTAGTGTCAGTCTGAGTTAATTTCTATCCAACAGCTTTCAACTGTCCATAAACGCACCCCAGCTCGTTATTGTTCAGGTCTTTTATGTAAAATAGCAGCTGTAGAGCATTCTGAAAGAATTTTTCAAATTAACAGCGAAAATGGATTTATTAATTATGAGGACTACGTACTTTACCAACGATCAACAAAATAAGACCACTTTCCCCGCTTAAATCGACTTTAACGTCAAGGTCATTGTCACCTGCCAGAAGGGGACATGAGTAAACACATCCATCTATATTGCTTCTGTAGAGAACTCTTCAGCTATGATAAAATTATTATGAACTAATACTTATTCGATTTAGGAGAAGCTTATCCAAAAAAAAAGTCTACAAAGCGCTTACGTAAGTCCTAAAGTTGGAACACTGTGCCACTTATAAGTGCTATCGAATAAAGCGGTCTTATATTTGCTAACATCGACATCGATCTTGTACTTCTCTATCTGCAATAGGCGTGAGTTCAGATCAATTGTGCAGGCCTTGAAGGTCTAAAAATTTGCCGTTTACACTTACTGCATGACCGTTGTAGGAGTATGAAACTTTAAGGATGAAAGGTTTTCAAAAGTTGACAGGATACATAGGGTTGCCATCGACATCGAGGACTTGTATGCTTTTTGCCGTTATAGCGTGGGCTAAAAGAAGAAAATATTTAGCTTATCGCTGGGCATTGTTAAGATTGCTCTAAGAAATATTTCCCACTTTAAATCAATAAAATGTGAGTTAAACAGCTGTAATCGGACGTATTTAGTTGTAAATAACCACTTTTTTTTAATTTAATAACCTACAGGTATTACAGTTAAAATAGTGAATCACCGTTGCAGTTCCGTTTGGATAGCCGCAGTTTTTTGCGAGAGACACTGTCAGTATCTCCAGTAAAATAAACAATCGCTGCATTTCCGAGCCTAAAAATTCTTAGTTGCAAAAAACGTCCTGACATTTAGAAGCTGACCCTGTAAGCAGTGTTTGGTGACAAGAATGAAGATTTTAATATCTGTATTTGCAGTACCAGGATTTAAAGTTATAAACCTCATTTTACCTAAGCAATTTTGACGGAAAATGAAAAATAGCTAGAGTATCTTCATAAGATAATATTCTTGATTAAAGAATAGGTAAAAAGTTCAAGATAAGAGAAGAATTCTACTTAAATAGTTGTCAGAGTGCTGGTTTCTGTAAAAATGCGACAAGGTAAGGCTGTAAAAGTAAACCATTTTTTGCTTATCGAGTTGTAAACTATAGCTGTACTTTAAGGATGGGTTTTTACGATTAGTTTTTTGTTTGAAATATGTGAAGCTGTTCTCCTACTCATTTTTTGAGGCAAAAACGAATCATTGTTGTAAAATTAAACGTATAATTTAATAGTTGGCGATACTGATGATTCTGAATGATTTACTTATTTATACGAACTGTAGCGCAACTGTCACACTGAAAGCACGTGACTTTTTAGCTGAGCATTAAACGAGTCGGTCACTTTGAAAAATGTTGAAGTCATTAAACCTTAAAGTAGTTCTGATGTAATTCTAATTTGTTTTTAACTTGTATTCTAGCTGTTTAACTATTAGCCGTTACCTTTCAAACTTACAGATGCAGTCATGGCAAATAATTTATTACTGCGTAAATATCTGAGACCAAAAGATTTAAATTCTCTGCAATCAACTTAGTTAATTGAAATTGAGGGTTACAACATTAAGGACTGAATCTAATAAAATACATTGTATCAAGATATTTTCAACTGATTAATGATTTAACAGTCACTAAAATTTTTCAACTGCATAAAATGAAAACAAAGATAATTGCACTGATTTAGGCAAAACTGCTTAAACCTTGTGAAAATGGAAAAGCTTTACTTTATTCAATAAATTTGCTATTAAAATCAAAATGAAGCTCTTATTTTGATGCTGAGTTCTGACTTAATTAGAATTCCTTGATATCTTCCTAGCAAGCAGCATTCTTTTAGGCTATATAGGCGAAGAAATGCCCTTAAAACTGGTTGGCACATTACCGATGTTTATATGAATCTAATGAGTACAGGATAATTTTTTGAAATTAATGAACGATGCATTTAACCATTAAAATAATATGCAACTTCTTATAATACACGACAATTCTGTCTAATGTTGAGTTGCCGGTCAATATTCTTATATTTAACTGAAACGTTTAAGAATTAACACAACAGTCATTCTGCGACAGAAATGTTGAAGAATTTCTCACTGAAATGACATTAGGCAGTCACCAGTGAAGTGAGAGATAATGAATGTGCAAAAAAACTAAAATTTTTTTTTATGAACTAAGTATGCTGAAAGCTTAGCTAGTGTGTTATTAAACTCATGCAGCACAAATCTAAAAAACCAAGGCAGAAGGCTACACTTCCTAAAACAATAAATTCTAGAATTTTTGGCAGCAATAGTTCCTGTTGCGCAATTTTTTTTACATAGGTCCATTATACGCAGAAGTTTTTTGAACATGGGTTAGTACAGTCTTTATAACTGTTTAAATGAAGCCAATTAATATTTATGCATGATTCACTCATAGTTTTAAATGGGACAGTGATCACTGATATCAGTTGTAGTTTCTTCCTATAAGAATACTAAAAGAATACCTTTATATTAGCAATGCTCCGGGTGACAAACACTTGTGCTACAGATTTCTCTATTTTATACAAGACAGAAGTAGATTTTTAAAAACAGCCAACTTCTTCGTGGTAACCAGAAAGTGTTTACTGGAATTTTGACATTCAAAATTCTTTATTTCTATTTAGATAAATGTCATAAGTCATAAGTTTTCTCCCATATATTTGCCAAAACTTCTTATCGTTGCCAGGCTGCTTCTAAAATGATTAATCGAGGCCGTGGGAAAAAGGTTTGGCAGAGTTTACCGTTTTTACTTGCAAAATTTACAATATAACGATAACAAGCCTTGAAGTGAGCTTATCAAGAAACACATTGGTAAATGGAAAGATTTGGCGAAAATTGTTTCATTGCTTGAGAATCTTCTTGTTTACTGGCTTTATTTGTGCTGACAAAACTGTTTATGACAACCCAGTTTTGGAGTTCCTTTGGTGCATTTACGGAAAGTGTGGCATAGTTGTGAGTTTGAGTTTTCTGGTAAGACATTGATTGTAACACCGTAGCATTTTCCGACATCTTGAGCTAATTAGAAAAAGCCTATAAACGTATCAATTTTTAAATTATTAATTTCTCTAGTTTATCAACTTAGGGTTGTTATCTCGTTAACTTTTCAGTAAACAAAAAAAAACTTGAAGTTGAACTGTTAAAAAATTTATTCACTTGTGCGACTATTAAAAGCTACTTTTTTACGACGAATAAGAAACTGTACGCTTCCAAAATATTCTTCTTTTCAACGGTTTAGCAGCAGTTAAGGCGTAATAAAAACGGGTAAAAGATTTGAGAAAGCAAGTCATTCAGTCTTTTAAAAATTATTTTTGAATTAAATTACTTTTACGCAAAGTTTCAATAGAATCAGTTCTTCGGGACATATGAACAATTTCCAGCTGGAAAATTATTTTTACTTCGCCTGTTCTTCCACGGAGTCGGCTGGAAACTTTTATTCACGAAAAAGAACTATTTGAAAAAAAATTTTACTACACTTCAATAAATGATTATTTAAATCCAGTTCATTTTAGTGCCGTCTTTTGAATTATCTATATTTCATAAATAAAACAGAACTGAGTCTTTAGAAATAACTGTAAAATCAGTCATTAAAGTAGCTTCTCTCAAGCAGCAAATTTTATCGCACAGACCACTGAAATACCAATACTTCCGGGCAAATGCAGAAACTGAGATATTAATAGAAGTATTGCGCCCATGTACAATTTCCTTAAATAAAGGTCGAACAGACGATTGCTTTTGAACGAAAAAATTCTGTTTCGACTACGACCATTCCTAGAGGGATTTTCTGTCCGTCAACGGAGTACCAAAAGCTAGAAGAGTATCCCTAGATCTCTCTGGCAACAAAAGCTGTAATAAAGCACCTTTTAAATGCGGTATTAAAAATAGATTCTTTAGTAAATTGGGGAGGGACAGAGATAGAGGTCAGATTGCGAAGTGAACTAGACAGCTCCAAACTGCAGTGTTCCTTAAAAAAAAAATTAGCTAATTCTGCGCAAAAACCCCCGTCTCTAACTAGGCTTGGAAGTTTCCTAATGGGATAAGCGTTTTCTGCTCCTTACTGCCCCTAATAGTTTTATGTTTTTAGAAGATATTACGTCAAGAAGAGTTTTACTCCTAAAATGTTAAAGCTTGAATAAATATCGTTTTGACGTAATAATGCTTGAGTAACTTTGTTTTTTTATCAGTTTATCTGAAAAGCAAAAATTTTCTCCGAGTGAAAAGCACTTACTGGAATGCTGGATGTTATCAGTTAAAAGTGTGACAGCAGCATTATCTTTATTATTTATTACTTATCATTATCTGTTGTGTAGAAGAAGTACGTTCTTCACGCGTAAAGCATAAAGCACGACACAGTAAGTACAAGCAAGAAGATTAACGACTTAATCAACCAAAGAGAACTCGATAAGTAATAAGAGTAGGAAAATTTATCGATGTAGCAAGTTTCGGTTTAAAGCGCTAGGAAAACAAGCATTATTTTCAGGTGTGGACAGAAAGCTAATGAACAACTGTTTGTTTTGCATTCACTAACAACACTAAACGAAATAAGTGAGCAGAGCTAATAAACGAACAGTAAACTGTAAGTCGATACTCGGTCTCATTCGTAGCAAATTAAATAAGACCAAATATATCAGTTCATTAATGACAATGTGATTTACGTAAACAGATGCATAAGACGGTTGCTCAAGATATAACTGAACAAGAAAGAACTTGAGAAGTCAAATCTACAGAAGAGAAAAGAAGCTGACAATAAAAATTAAATCACAAAAAAACAAAAATCTAAATTTATAACGGCGTCACGTATGAAGTCTAAAAGCGTTGCGCGGAATGGCCGTCTCTCCGAAGAAGTTAACAAATCTGGCATAGACTTCGGCTTTTTGGCACAACAAAATCAAAGCCGATGCAAGAAAGTGAGCGAACTTAGATTAATGTCGTAAACTAATCCAAAAACTAGTTAAGGCTCTGATACAAAAGTTTGTGACATAATCTTTGATTTTATACTTCAGATGTAACAGAATTCTTGTTTTCGTTAAGATGCGTAAACAAAGAACTTCAGTCCGCCTTCGCCAGCCGGATATTGATTTGATCGCAGTACCTCACCAGAGTTTGGCATTAGACAGCGCTTAGGATCCCTGCTAACGCGCTCGGCTCAATCCTTCATCGGCTGGGAGGTACCGGTAAAAGTTTCACTGTATCGCTGTCGGGAGTTTTACCCTTAGAAAACGCAACTCCCATCCCTCGCACGTCTTCCCACTCTCTACAACAAAGTTTAAGCACTCACGCCCTTTTACTCGTTCTTTCCATTACTCTTTTCGCTGTTTTTCACAAAATAATAATATTCCGGTGATAATAACTACAAAACCTCTACACTGCCATAAGTACCCGGCAAAGTACTATTTTGCTCACTTTTTTCCATTAACTTCTTCATTTGTAGCTTCACATTTTTATTTGCATTACCTAAACCCACTTTGGAAATCCAATATTTGTCTACTTTAATCAACCATCGACCACACCTTAATCTCCTCATCCTCTGTGTGTGAAAAAACATCGTTGTTATAAAAAACCATCAAACAGATTGTCACATCAATGAAATCGTATAAAATTTATGTTCATCAATAAAGTCACAATACAAATACAGCGATACAACCCGAAAATCTACTAAGATATAATGTTACTCCTTTCAACTTATCCGGTCTCAACCATACAACTTAGCGCCACTTAATGTACGAAAAGCCTTTGCTCAACCTTAATCATACCTTCGCAACCACT